GGCCACGGCAGAGGCCTTCGTAAACCCATGCGACGCCGTCCATCTGCTCCGCCTGCGCCGAGATGCAGCGCGGCTGGCGGCGGCGGAGACGGCGGGGGCGGCGGGGGCGATGGAGTCAACGCAGCGGTGGCGAGGGCGGCCAGGACGGCGGGCCGGGCTGCCATGAAGGGCCATCAAAAGAAGGATCTCGAAGTGGGCTTCAGATGCAGTGGGACGGCGAGTTTCCTGCTATTAGCGGAGACTTCGTCCCGGGAGAAAATTTGGCTGCGTTTATCTCAGAGCCAGCGTTGACTCTTTCTAACGTGTCTCTTACTGGGAGATCCTAGGGTTAGAGTCCTGACGGAGGCAGATTTTCGTCATTTGCTACATTGCTAGGTCGAAGTCATCCGCTCTATAGACGTTAATTGTGCTGTGACCAGAATTTTTCCGTTTTTTTTCGATCAATACCATGCGAATTCCTGAACAGTATCCTAACGAACGAGTGTTGTTTTGTTCAATGTTCTGTCCTGTACTTACTACCACACATTTTGGGAGGTCAATCCGGAGCTTAGAGCTTGTCCCGATTGGGGCGCATATCTGCAGGTATTGCCCGGAAATAGACATGTAAGATCTCACTATTCAGATGGGACTAAACATCGTCTCCTCCAACCATAAAAACATTCACTACACTAATGAATCTATTGACCACAGCAGTTGGGGCGCCCGGTAACATCAATCAATTACGAAAGAAAAGAAAGAGGTGAAAACGACTAGCTTTAAAAGGTAAAAAATTGTGGTGCTCTACGAAATATGATAGACCCTACGAGTATTTCTATCATTCTGAAGAAAATGCTGAATGTGTAGTGTTATTTGCACTGCTGCATGTTTGCTTTAAATTTGAGTGAAACGAGTTCCAGGACTTTATTTAAACTTTAATGCCACTGCTTTTTTAAAACTACCATCATTTTGCAATAAGGAATACTCTCTATTGTTGTAGCAGAACAGAATAATTATTGTAATGACGCTCCTTTGGCGTGGAAAGTGTTTATAATCCTTCTCACGGTCACATGCATATCAATATAACATCTACAAAACATTCTCGAATATCTTCCCCACGGTTCTGGAAACATTTTCTACATACGTAAGTGATTTAAACCCATGCTAATATTATTTATAATTTTATAAATATAGTACATACAATTGATAAGTATTATTTATATTCTGTAATAAAAGCTAGCGCACATCAAAGTCTAGAATTTATCAGTAAAAATAATTATATTTGGTTATGAAAAAACCTGGAAACGCTATCATTTTCTTTCAACATATATTGACTATTAAGGGAAATAACGCACGGAATAATACGTATACAAATTAAATATTCAAGAACTACCTCTGTTATTCAAACTAATAGACTCTGCTTATTAGTATTATATCAATGTTTCTTAAATGTAATATCAGACATGTAAACCTTCTCTATTGAAAAATATAACACTTTTAAACTAGTGAAGAATATCTAGAGCTAGCCGTTGTTTACTGAATGTATTAGTTTGTGAATAGAAATTATGGAATGAAAGTTATCTCTTTTGCACCGATAATAAATGAACAAAAACCTACATGGACACGTAGCACAGCTGGACGAGGATGGAAAACCAGAACCTTTATGTGGCCGAGGAACGAATTGTTCGATAGTGATGTGAATAGAGCAGACATACTCTATTCAGTCCTGGGATTCATATTCACAATACGTTGTCGTGGTATATCGTGGAAATGTGGACATTGATGGAGTATATTCCAAAATTTTGCTCTATTTACTTTTGTACTTTGCCATCATGATATGAAAATTCGTTTTACTAGTTAGTATTTGAACTGTGCATTATATTAGTAAGTTACGAAATAAATTTACCAATAGAGTATCGTAATAACCTATTACAATACTCCATTGATTCCCTTCTACCGGATTGGTTACGTATAAGGACCTCGTTTGGTAATTTTTCTATCGAATTTTCTAATAAAATTGTTACTGCAATTATTGTACACTTTATTTACTTCCAAATATTCCAATATACTATAATATTCGTATAAGTTTGAATTTCTTATCCTGCTGAACCAAACAGCAGCAATTATTACCTACCGCCAATTATCATGGGATGTGGTTTAGATGTAAGGAAATATAAGAATTGCAGTTGATTTTATAGAGTTTCACACGAGAGAGTTTAGAGTGCCCATCTGTTCGAAATGTAAGTACCTTTTGTAGTTGAAGTTCACTAAAAAGTAATGTTCGAAATGCAAGTACCTTTCGTAGTTGAAGTTCACTAAAAAGTAATGTATTGAATGCAACCCGCCATTCATATCTGCCCGAGGGGCTGCCGCAGTACCTCAAAAAAAGTGAAACAAATGTCTAGCGCAACAAAATGAGACACTACTGCTAAGACTTTCTTCGTGCGTTTAAATACGAGGCAACGCAAACGTTTCTGAATCGCAATTATTTACATGTGTCACAAATATATTTATACTTTTACTTTTAACAATTCAATCTTAGACGCAGATATTTGAAACAGCATTAATTTCTGCGAGCTCCATGAACAAACCCCAATAGCTATTTTAAAAATTCATTTCACGAGATATAAATAGGAAACGAAAACTGTTCCATATGTCAAAAGCAAACTCATAAAATAAAAAAAAATCATGCTCATATAAGCGTAGTTTGAACATTTAAAAATCTCAAAAGAAAATTAATTTATTTCACAATAACACCCTGATTATTTCATACAGTAAACAGTCTGTATTTTCAGATAATTTAAAATGTGAACTATATATAAGGCTGAAATACAACGTATATTGAAACTTACCGTTTCGTATATTGACGGAAAGCTTGCGAAGAATTCACGTTAAAATTTGTCAATAGCGGTGGGAAAATTGTAAATGACTAGTCATATAGAAATGTAATTTTAATACGTTATGCAGAAACCAAGTTAAATTATTTAAACAAATTAGTCTGGATAAAATTTAATAGTTTAATGCAATTTATTTTTAAAGAATGCACATGCGAATCGTTGTCAGTAATCACCTTCATCTTCTGAGCCCCTTTTAAAACCGTAAGACGTTATGGGTTATGCTGCAATTTATGGAAAGAACCAGAACTATCAAGTATAAATTGTCAAACATGTAATGAAACGAAACAGTCCACATTAAGTTAGTCTACAGCGTCGTCACACTTCATATTCAAATGTTCTTTGAAAATATATGATAATTAAACGAGAAACAAAATGCTGCTTCTGGACGTAAATTTCAAACGCTAAAGACAGAAATGACGCAATACAAGTAGGCAATTACCTCCAGCGCATTCGGCATGTATAGGGTTGAGGCTGTTGGTCGCGTAGACCAGCTATCCTGGCTACTTGAAGCATATTTTATAACGATGACGTCTGCGCGGAGGTGCGTTGTTAATATTAATTATATCTATGGCATCTTGACTCATAATTTGAACAAAGTTGTAGGCGTTTGTCGCGAAGTTGAGTCTTCATAAAAGTGACACAAATGAGCTCTCAACTACTGCTTGGAGTGGGTGAGAATATATTTACAATGAGAGGAAAGCAATCTAATATTTATTGACAATTTGTTCCTCGTTACAAATGAAAACAAAAACTGGTTTGCAAATCCGGTTATTACATTTTCCCCAAACAACGTTTTTCTACTATCAAGAAAAAACAGTTCTCTCAAATAAAAATAATATCTATTGAGAAAATATGAAGAGAGTCAGTAGAGACTTCTTGAGTTACTTCTTTCAAAGTAATTTTCATATCAGAATGCATCAATTTTTAGTTTCAGAAAACGTTTTTAATCAAAGATTCTAGTGTTCGATCAAAAGAGAAGCAGACCACAATTAACGCATTTTTAGTTACATTTTTATTAATGAATATCAACTGAACAATAAATAATAATTTAAGATAGTGATGAAAGTTAGTTTAACCTTTGTATACTAGAAAACATTTTCACAAGCTTCCAAGAATGCCCATGGTATTTATCAATTTCTTCTAGAGGTTCTATTTCCCTTTCGGAAATGGTGCCATTTCTGGTGCTTTAACTATCTATTTGTCAATGAAGTTTTAATTTCTGATTGTAGTCCTCGTGTCTATTTCGAATTTCTTTTAATGTTTTGTATTTACTCGTTTATTACATGTGTTTGTATTGTTTTGATAATTATTTAGTTAATTTTTCAAACTTCCAGTTTGTTGTCAATGATTAATGTTTTTTGCCATGTGAACTTCAAGTCAACGATACTCATACTAGAATATTTCCACAGTATAGGGTATCTGAGAATAATGTTACAAATGTCTAGGGTTATTATAGGGTCAAAGATGATAACTTTCGCCAATACGCGTGTGGTGGGAAATCTCAGAATTAAGTCACAAATGTGACATACACGGTCAGGTATGTGCTCGTTCTGACGCAATCGAAGAGAGTTCATGTACCATCACACGCGATGGAAAATGATAAAATATCAGTAAAATACGTTGACGCAACATACAACAGTTAGAAAAAAATTATATTTTAATTTTCTCAAGTATCGAGAAAATGCCGCCAACGAGCGTCGCAATCAAACTGTTCATGTCCTTAATAGTGCGGTTCGCGAATGAAAATTCCCAACGTCCATTTTCTTGTCTAAATGTTGTGCATGTGATCCTCTGATGTGTAGTTTGACGGTTTTCCTAAACGACGATGATTTTTATTCATGATTAATGGTAGCATTTACTGGCTAATTAGTCAACTGTTTAGATAACTTGTGCACAGGTGTATCATATCTGACGCTTTAAAGGCGGTTTCATGAGCTTTCCGAACACTATCCATAAGGGGTTGTTACGTAATATGAAATTTTCTACAACATATTCATTAGCCAAACTTTATCACTTTCGACCCCTCTGCATGCCCCAGATGTTAGTAGCATAGACCTGCGTAGTTTGCTTGCTGTCTTGCCTGTGGCGACCGGCCAGAGAGTGACAGCCGGGCGCGGTGTGTTGCAGCAGGGACGGCCATGGCGGCGACCGGGTCGACGCGCTGCGACCCGCCGTGTGGGCCCGAGGTGGCGTGCCGCAACTTCGGCAACGGCAGCAGCCTGTGCGTGTGCCCGCACGACGCGTCGCCGCCCACGCCCGACGGCAAGTGCCCGCAGCGTCGCACCGGTGAGTCCTCACTCTCGCCCGGGAGCCCAGCCCGCCCAGCGCGGGAGCGCGTGGGGGAGGTATTAGTCAGCACTAGAGCTGGGAAGTTCATACAGTCGCGTGTTCTTTGATAATGGTCATACATTTCTAAAAGTTCCATTGGGTATATTTCATGACAAAATATTGAGAATAATATGGCACATTTTGCATATTCAGAGCTTTTTGTCATATAAATTAAAGTTTTTGTATATTGTTCGGCTTTTGGTCTAAAGCAACACAAATATATGAATTTCCAAGAAAAAATCGAAATCATGAACTTTGTTGTTGCTTCAAATAACTTAGCACCATAAGTTTCGGACTTCTGACGACCTATGCCGCCGAAGTAATATTTGCTGTCATCGGTAGAAGATAAATAATTCAAGAACATCATTACTAAATGCACTTGAAATTATTCCTGAGGTAAGGGATAAATTCCTGATTCCCCCAGGTGAAATAGGGGAATGTAAATAGGAAGAAAACAAAAGTTTACAATGAGGAATTTTTTGGAAGGAAAGGAGGATAATGTTTGTCTTTCAGACAATGAATTAAGCACAAACATTGTCTCCCAAAACATCATGTGATGTCGAAATACAATTTTTACATACAAAATTAAATTAAATAATAAATAAATAATTTATGTGCACAGTTGGGTAAATAAAATAAATAATATTAATAAAATTAGACAGTTTCATTCTTTTACGATAGTTTACAGAATTAGTAAGAAATATTCATCAACATTTATTAGTATTATTCGGGCAACAAAAGTAATTAAATGTCAAAGTAAAGTAAGTAGGTATTCCACAATTTAACTTGCGCTGATTTGCATTCAAAGCGGGAGAACCTAATAGAGCCACCACCACCAGCGGGGCACCGCCCGAGCCGGTACGAGCTCCATGTAAGTTCACGACATCTGAAAGTGATGATAGTGAGTGTGTGGATGTGTGTGACTGAACAAGGATGAAGAAGGAAAGATTTCGCACGCTTCTTGATGCGCTTATCAGGGTATGGCTCCGGCATTCCCCTGGAATTGATCGGAGAAACCACGGAAAACTATTATACGTCCTCGGACATCTTATGGTCTTGATGGCGAAAAAACTTCGGAAAAAATATATACCACAGCAGCTACCTACTAGAATGCTGCGTCAAACAATAGTTAATTAATATCTGCCACTGTCGGGATTTGAAGCTATAGACAAAGTTTCCTTTGATATAATGCCGTCGATGTACCGTTTGGATCGTACTTTAGCCGAAAATGGAAAATTGCAGCCATTCACGTGCTATAGTAGACATATAAAATGCATTATCAACTGACCCACACGAGAACAGGACGTTACCATGGGGTAATATAATTAAGTAGATGCAATTTTATGGGAATAAGGAATTAACTATTGAATATCGAGTGATTATTTTAAAACTCTCTTGAGTCAGATTTCAATTACATTAAACAAACAAATAATACTTATTCTTTTATTTACCAGAGGGATTGTATCAATTTTAATTATATTTAGGACGTTGTAGATCTGCCGAAATACCTACACAACTCGAAGCATTTTCTGAGAACCTTGAATTTTTCACAAGCTACAAGGTCTTTTGTGGTTTTTGATATTTGTTAATTCAGGAGCTCCTCCAATATGCAAACATAAAAGTTTTGTAGAGTTAACGAGTTCAAAAGTAACTTGTTCAAATGCAAACATAAAAGTTTTGTAGAGTTAACGAGTTCAAAAGTAACTTGTTCAAAAGTACTTGCAGTACAGTATTATAAAGTATACCTTACTAAGGGTACTTTCGATGCGAAAGATACGAATGTGCTAAAAGACGTTCAATAGAAATAAAGAGGTATATGCCTTAGGTGAGAAAACAAGTTCTAAATCGTATTTTAGCACGTTACAATTTCGAGATTCACTCAGATCATACTCTTCCTTTCTGTTGTGCTTCGCAAACGAACTCTAGTTCTGTCTTTTCACCATCCATATTCTTATTGATGTTAATAAATACCAATAATTTTCATTTTAACATCGAACAGATATAGGTCACAAGTCGGTAAAAAAAGTTTGTTTGTTTTTGGTTCGTAAGTTTAGTTCGTTAGTTAATAAAAAATCCTATGCATGATTTAACAGTCAGTGGTGTCTACGACCAGACATTTTGAAAAGAAACATTTTTTCGGTATCTAGGAACCCCAAAAAGGGTATTTCCGTTGATATTTTGATACTGATTATCCTCAGCATAACATAACTTTCCTTATACTACGTATATTACTCCGCATAAACGTACGTATACGGCTAAGTACAAAGGTACCTTCACCGTATAACTTAAATAAAAACCTTTCTACGCAAAAATTCTTCCATTCTGTACTAATTTAAACTAATTCTATTCGAAAATTAGGCCGGTAAGGCCCAAATTGTTTTTCCATTTTGAGCAAAGATTTTACATTCATTTGAAGTATTTGTGGGAGTACTTTACCGTGGTCAATTGATTCACCTGTCAACTTCGTGAATCAACTTCCTGTGATGTCTGCTCAGAATACCCACATTTTATTCTAAGCAATTTATTTCCATTTATAAATGGAAAGTTTGGTAGCATATTAACTTCATGTAGAGTGTGTTTTAAATTCTTTACATGTTAAAGGTTTGGAAAACTCAATAGGAAACAAATTACCGCCAAAAAATATGCAGTGCCATCCTTCATTGAAGTACTAGTGCGCCTATGAAGTATTAGTAGAAGACAACATCCTTCACGCTCTTCAACGCAAATTATAATTAAATAGATAATTTTATTACGATTGCAGTTGTGGCAGCCATGACCGATCTGAAGATCGCGATCGATGACCGTAACAGATTCACCAAATGCATTTTGATGAGCCCATTAGTGCTCTTTCGCCGGAGGCTGTGGTCTTAAATTAGACCACAGAAGAGCGTGGGCGGCTGCGGGAAGGAGCGCCGAGGGGCGCGGAGGCGGCGGAGGCGAGCGCTTTGTGCCGCCCCGAGCACCATAAATCAGCGCACGCGGCGATACGGCACAAAAAGCCGGTTCGCTGGGTGGCGGGCGGGCGGCGGCGGCAAGACCTGACGAGCGGCAAGAACCGAGAGAGCAGAGAGGGGAGGGAGGGGCAAGAGGGGTCGGGCGAGCTGGGAGCAGAGAGAGCGTGAGAAGCGGGAAAAAGTGAGAGGAGAGCGGTGAGAGAGAGGTGAAGAGCGGGAGAGAGATGCGAGAGGCGAAGAGAGGGCGTGAGAAAGGGGGTGAGAGAGAGGTGAGAGAGGAGCGTGGAAGAGAGGCCGTGAGAAGGGACGTGAGAGAGGGCGGTGGAGAGAGAGGTAGAGAGAGGAGCGTGAGAGAGAAGCGTGAAGAGATGGGTGAGAGAAGGGCCGTGAGGAGAGCGTAGAAGGAGCGAAGGTTGAGAGAAGAGGAGAGGGCGTGAGAGAGGGCGTGGGGGTGGTAGAGAGGGCGCGTGAGATAGGGCGTGAGGAGGCCCTGAGAGAGGGCGGAGAGGGTGAGAGGGAGGTGAGAGAGGGCGGGTAGGAGAAGGGCGTTGGAGAGAGGGCCGGTGAGAGCAAGGGCGGTGAGAGGAGAGCGGTGCGTGGAAGGCTAAAGAGGCGTGAGAGAGGGCGTGAGAGAGGGCGTGAGGTGAGAGAGGGCGTGAGAGAGGGGTGAGAGAGGGAGTGAGAGTCGTGAGAGAGGGGAGGCGTGAGAGGAAGGGCGTGGAGAGAGGGCGTCGAGAAGCGGAAGAGGGGCGTGAGAAGAGGGGGCGTGGAAGAGAGGGGTGAAGTAGAGGGTGGAAGGGCGTGAGAGAGGGCGTGAGAAGGGCGTGAGAGAGGGCGTGAGAGAGCGTGATGAGGCAGAACGAGGGCGTGAGAGAGGGGTGAGATGAGGGCGTGAGAGAGGGCGTGAAGAGGGGAGAGAGGGCGTGAGAGAGGGCGTGAGAGGGCGGCGTGAGAGAGGGCGTGATAGGGGCGTGATAGAGGGCGGTGAATGAGGGCGTGATAGAAGGCGTGATAGAGGGCGTGATAGAGGGCGGTGATGGGGCGTGGAGAGAGGCGTGAGAGGCGTGAGAGGGGCGTGAGAGAGGGTGAGAGAGGGCGTGAGAGAGGGCGTAGAGAGGGCGTGAAGGGGCGTGAGAGAGGGCGTGAGAGAGGGCGTGAGAGAGGGCGTGAGAGAGGGCGTGAGAGAGGGCGTGAGAGAGGGCGTGGAGAGGCGTGAAGAGGGCGTGAGAGAGGGCGTGAGAGAGCGTGAAGAGGCGTGAGAGGGCGTGAGAGGGGGGTGAGAGAGGGCGTGAGAGAGGGCGGAGAGAGGGCGTGAGGGGGCGTGAGAGAGGGCGTGAAGAGGGCGTGGAGAGGGCGTGAGAGGGGTGAGAGGGGTGGAGGCGTGAGAGAGGGCGTGAGAGAGGGCGTGAGAGAGGGTGAGGAGAGGGCGGAGGAGGGGTGAGAGAGGGCGTGAGAGAGGGGTGAGAGAGGGCATGAGAGGGGCGTGAGAGGGCGTGGGAGGGTGAGAAGAGGGCGTGAGAGAGGCATGAGGGAGAGGGCGTGGAGAGGTGTAGAAGTGGCGTGGAGAGGCGTGAGAGAGGGCGTGAGAGAGGGCGTGTAGAGAGGCGTGAGAGAGGGCGTGAGGGAGCCGTGGGGACGTGAGAGAGGGGTGAGAGAGGGCGTGAGAGAGGTGAGAGAGAGCGTGAGAGAAGCGGTGAGAGAGAGTGTGAGAGAGAGCGTGTAGGAGAGCGTGAGAGATGAGGTGAGAGAGAGCGTGGAGAGAAGAGCCGTGAGACATGAGGTGAGACAGAGCGGTGAGACAGAGCGCTGAGACAGAGCGTGAGACGAGGGTGAGAGAGAGCGTGAGAGAGCGGTGAGCGAGAGAGAGAGCGTGAGCGAGAGAGAAGAGTGAGCGAGAGAGAGGTGAGCGAGAGAGGCCGTGAGCGAGAGAGCGTGAGCGAGAGAGAGCGTTGAGCGAGAGAGAGGGGGAGCGTAGAGAGAGTGCGTGAGCGGAGAGGAAGGTGGCGAGATAGAGTAGCGTGAGGAGGAGAAGCGATGAGCGAGAGAGAGAGCGTGAGCGAGAGAGAGCGTGAGCGAGAGAGAGCGTGAGCGAGAGAGAGCGTGAGCGAGAAAGAGCGTGAGCGAGAGAGAGCGTGAGAGAGAGCGTGAGAGAGCGCAAGGGAGGGCAAGAGAGCGTGAGAGAGCGTAAGAGAGCGTGAGAAAGCGTAGGAGCGAGCGTAGGAGCCAGTGTAGGAGCGAGCGTAGGGGGGCAGTGTAGGAGCTAGTGTAGGAACGCGTATAGGAACGAGCGTAACAGTGAGCGTGAAGGAGGGCGGGCGAGCGGTGTGGGTCGTCGCAGCACGGTCAGTTCCTGTGGCGGGGACCGCGTCCGTGAGACTGCTTTCCTTTGAGGGGCGGCTCCGTCCAAGGATCGTCCTCTGGCACACGCGGAGTTATTTCCTCCATGTCTCTTCCTCTCACTTCTCGCGAAGCAAGTCCTATAATGTCGTCCCACCACACCCTTCGATTAGAATTCACTTTTGCGACGGCGTTGTTTTTGTTTTGAGTGGGGGAGGGGGATATTACTTTCATTATTGATGTTATCTCAGTGTTTAACGTAGTTTTTAATGCAAATGATTACTTTTCAATAAATACTATTATATATTTTCTGTATGTCCATTAAATTACGTAGAATATCAAATAAACAATGAAACAAAATAATTATACTTTTTATCTAAGCTATTCGGGACGAGCTTCCTCACTGACATGGTGGCATGTCAGTGACGCGGCTCGTCCCGAAGATCTTAACACAATCTCCGACCGCGGAAGCTTACACACCCAGAATTATACCTTTAAAAATTTTTTTCATTGTAAAACAGCAACTTGAAAACTAGAGCCCCTAACGTCGTTACACGAAAAGTAATAATCTTGCGTTTAATCATCGTAAATTCAATTATTATAATATAGCGCTGCGCATATAATTCCGAGAGAGTACAGGAGCGCCCTTAAGTTGCCAGCAACAAGCGACGTAAACGCGTTTCCTCCCAGGCATAATTAGGTGTTCCTGGAACGCTGCGGTTCTTCAACACGAATTGATTGGTGCGGCTTAATTTAATCAGCACGTAGGGAAAACGGCCATCAAAACAGTACTTTCATGTGCTTTCATTAATCAAATTAATCCCGTGATGCGAGGTGATAATATGCAAGTGGTCTTAAAAACCATTTCTCAGAACCTTTTATTTAACATTTATTGCGTTGTCAATACTATTAATAAACACGTTCATTCTATCTAGGAAGAGGCTAGATGGGTCATGAATTCCCTCCATAAAATGCTTTTACATGGTACGTATTTTGCGTTATCCGGTAGGACCCAGACATGAGTTATGATGACAATAATAATAATAATAATAATAATAATAATAATAATAATAATAATAATAATAATAACAATAATAATAACAATAATAATAATATAGAATCACGATCGTGGAATACTCTTGTGTTATTGACTCGTGTTATTTGTGAAAAGTTATCGAATAATATTCAATTTTTCAATATTACAATAAACCACAGAACTCAAGGATTTTTATAACTCCATTCTTTTCTATACATACACACACTTAAACCTAGACACACACACACGCACGCAACCACACACACACACATACATACACGCGCGCGCGTAAAAACGCACACCCATACAACACAACACTCACAAGCCATTCACACATTCACCAAACACCACACAATCCACACGATGACACATCATACCACGTGAGACCACATACTGCACACCACACGACAAGACATGACCACATGTAAACAAACGTGTAGTATCTACTACCTCTTTATATAACTGCTCCATTCTGTTTAGTATTCTTTAGCAAATTATTTTAGTGCAAATAAATCCTTGGATTAAAATATTTTTTCAGATCGTGTGCAAGATTTCAACGCAATTTAATTTCCGTCCAGAACAGCCAAAAGTCAATTTCATTTTCGAATAGTGTACTCATTTCAAGAATTCAAATTCCGAGTGGGTTGTTTCACAAAACCAAAGGGATGGATTGATCTTCCACATTTGCTGTGTTCAAAATTTAAATTACATGGTGTTTATTTACATAAATACTGATACATAAGCTGCACAATATTGCCTATCATAAATTCAATTACATAATAATGACTTATCTCGCATAATTTTTACAACAATTTCTTAATTCGTAATTTTCATTCAGAAAATATCAAATTCTCTACCATCTTTAGCTCCTTTACGCAAAAAAGAGGTAAAAATACAATTAAAGAAGATGTATTTAAGTAGAAGGGATGTAACTCATAATATCATGGTATCTTGCTGAACGCGAATTTCTGTATGTGTGAGTGCGTGAACGAGAGTGAATGTGATAAGAGTGACAGAATGAGAGAAAGAGAGAGAGAGAGAAAGAGAGAGAGAGAGAAAGAGAGAGAGAGAGAGAGAGAGAGAGAGAGAGTTAGTGAAAAAATGTGTTAATTGTCACAAGCCAATAATCGTCTCTTCACTTCGACAATAATCCTATCGTTGACTTCGAGACAGAGTTGTCTTCGGAACGAGATGGAATTGGCAAAGCGCCAAATAAATTATGCATAAAGGGTTGGGCCTGGTTTTCGGCATAGTATTTTTTAGGTTTGGCGAATCCATGAATTGAACCAAATATAATTTTTTTTTTATGAAACGCCCTCACGTTTGTGTAGCGCTTTACAAAGGCTCTAGTACCAACAATGAGGGCAGCGGGTCACGACTGTGCTGCGCTCAAGCGGATTCCCGCGTTTCGATCGGCCGCCCACGCCCTGACATTCGTGGCGAACCGCGTGGCTGGATTACTCATTGTGGCGTACTCACAGACCGCCCTGACCTTGTGAAGACTAGACGTTCCGAGATGGGGAAGTGAATCATTTGGAAAACACGTGATTCAAATGACTCGAAGCGCGTGGCAAAGGACTGCTTTCAAAAGCCCCACAAGCTCTAGATGTCACAGTCGAAATAGCTTGATACTGTGGAGCTTACCAGTGACTACGCTAATGGCATGTTCTCAACCGTGGACATATTCTACGCTCTCTGAAATTATCTGAAAGTTGAATTGTATCAATACTTACTACTCTACTCTATTATACAAAATTGAGAAAGTTAAAATACGAAACAAGTAAATAATATCAAATAGTACATGAAATAAATCGATAAATTCAAAAAATTAGAAAGGCGAATTCAGGTTGGTTACATGAAATTCGTTTATTCACAAATCTCACCTTCTTTATAAAGTTCAAAATATTACAATAAATAAACAGAATCCGGAAATCTTTTTGTGAAAATAAAGAAACAAATATTAATTTCTTATTCAAAATATACTAACTTCTTTTCCGAAAAGGAAAAAATGTGTTGTCTGCAAAAGTTGATTAGTATTTCTCACAGTGATCAACATTTTAAACAAAACAATATATTGCGAACATTGCAAAAGCTCGCTAGATTACATAATTTTCCTCTGTCAATATTTAGTTGAAAAAACTGATGAACATGGAATATATATGGTAACGGTATTCCACACGAAATTATAGTAACACTTAGAAAAAACTATAATTCGTAACACTTTCACTTTTGTTTTTAATTCTGCTAAAGCAAACACCATAAATCTTCAAACTTCTAGTTCATTAAGTAGCATAAATGATTCTACAAAACCATTGTAAATAATTAATATAACCCTGCCGACGATGTACTAATTTGAAAAACTTTCAATGAATTAGACTTATTCAATTTTATCTCTATTAAGTTGAGTAATGTTTTGAAGTGAAATCAATTATAGCTAAAGATCATTCCATGAAACATCGTACTACAATCGGATAATACATTAAGATATGACAAGACTACGAGACAAGAATGTCCTCACTGCACTAGTGGCTTCAAGGTTAACGTTCGTTTCAAATTGGGCCGGATTTGTTCTTGTTATCGCAATCTGTGGGGTAATAGTTTTGTACTCTAAGATATATCGGAATCGTAACAATCTCCCATAATCAAAATTATATTTAAATTACAGCATTTATTCGTATATCAACACTTTTTGAATGGATGAACGTGTTTTCGGAAAGAAATGAACTAATATCTGTGTGTTCGTAAAGAAATGAATGATGGAGCACTAAAGAAATGAGAGGGAACTCGGAGTAAACCTACTTCCATCTGTATTTTTCCCCACCTCAAATCCCAGGCGAGAACTGAACTCCGATCCCTGAAGTGAAAGGGAGCTGGCCGATTGCTTCACGACAGACCCACAGGCTTCATCGTTGTTTTTGTTCCTTTGTCCAATAAGTTTTATTTTCGTTTCTTCCCTTTGAACTCTCTCCGATTATTTCCGAAACGCGCTTTACTTTACCTTTTGCGGTCCGGCGTCGCGTCGGTCAGCCTCCGACGCGTCCGTGTGTGAAAGCGTGGCGTACGCGCCGGCCCCGCCCCCGACGTGCGACCTCGCGCGCGGCCTGCGATAAGCATCTCCACATCCCGCACGAGGCTCCTGAAGGCAACGCCTCTCGAGGCGCACACTGAAAGCAGAGGAGAAGGAATCGGCATTCAGAAACAGGCTTCTAGGGGAATAAAAATTAACCCTTTAGTGTCCAGAGGGACACACATACACACACATTATATATATATATATATATATATATATATATATATATATATATATATATACACACACTCGAAAAGTTCTCTGGGATACGTAAAACCCTCTATTGGTGCATTCTGCACTCTTGTTAAGAGTATGTGTCCGGCGTACTAATGCCCTGTTTCAAGTGATTCCAAGAATTTTGAGTTTTATTGTCCCTGTTACAAAAAGGTGCATATTAGAATCCTCATTTTGAACAATTTTATTTTTACCTGTTCGCATTATTTTGTGGTAAGGTTTCTTTTCGTTTGTTTTCAATTATTTAGTTAATTATATTGCTGCTAACATTATTGTTATCAAATACACGGTTGCAAGTGGTTTTTCAAAATTTTTGTCTTGTCGGTTTTTGAAAGTTCCTGCATTTGAAAATTTTTCTCTTTTTACTGTACGCTTTACGTTGTTTTAATATTTTTTAAAATTATTTCATACATTATATTGTAACACAAATTGATTTCTGAGATATTTCTGTATTTACGGTGATACGTATTTAAATAATAAAGGCAGCAGTAGGGGTGTATCAAAAGAGAAAAGAACGCATATAATGTGCCAAAAATGAAATGTAACCTATTTCATCAATCCCTGTTCTTCCAAATTTTATTTAAAATAAATTTAATTATCAGCCCTTTTTGTTTCTTGTATTATTTCATAATAAAAAGTATAGAAAAAGATAATTTTTTCCAGTATTGTTATTTTTCCAGAAATGGTACCCAGAAAGACTAATGGGACAGACATGACCCACTAACGATTTTTTAAAATACTAAACATTAATTATTCAGTAAGAAATACTATAATAACAAAATTCCGAAGAAAATTAAATGGGTCATCATAGAGTCAAATCTTGGGTTTTGAATCTTACGTAACGTAGGGAGGTAACACAAGAAGGTAACGCAGGGAGATCTTACGGTCGACCCTAAAAAAGGTGGATTTCTGACATCTAAACAGTCGAGTTCGGAAGTCGACCAGTGCAGGAATGAGAATTTAAGAGGTCGTCCGCTCTCACAGGTTCCCGACTTCTTATTTAAGGTCGCGTCAACTTATAGGCCATTAGCGACCACTATTGCGTTTAACGGTATATTAGCTGTGAGGATGACACGAAATGATGATGGTAGATGAAAGGACGAACACAAATACAACCATGCTCGAGGCGGGACTCCAACCCGCGATCCTTTATTCCGACATTGCTACGGCACTACTACCTTAGCGATCTCAGCCATCCGGCCTGTCGGTTTCCGACTTTAATAAACAAGTTTTCATTAGTATGGAGTTCTCATATATACAAATCTGACTCTTTATTTCAATTTTCAATAATAAATAATATCAATCAATTTTCTATTTTCAAAAATTTAATTTTATTTATTGTAATTTTTCAAATAGAAATATTTTATAATTATTTTCAAGAAGCAACCTTTATCGGCATACACATCTCTCCTGTAACCTTGCGAAAGGTGGAGATTTCACATTAAGCCAAATTATCAAGTTTTCTAAAACAATTCTTTTATGAAATACTATGAAAAAATCTCGAAACTACTGCCCTGTATGCGAGGATTGGTTTCACACATTGGCAATGCCGTTTTTAAATTTGTGAATAGGATTTTGCAAAAAGTGGTTTTAATATAAGTATCGATACCCCTATTATCGCATCGTATCAGTTCATGATTTAGAATGTATGAAGAAATGTATACTTAAAAAAATATACTAGTATTGATTCATTCGCTTTTTACTCTTTTCACACAATTTTTTGTTTTCAATTTCATTATTTCACTATTTTAACACAATATATTTTGTAAAAGTTTAAATGATTATCACGATGAGTACATTTCACGGTAGTAATGATCTTTTGAACACTTATATTAAATACGCAGATTTGTTGTCAATCCTACAATACTGATTGATGAGCAATGACTCTTGTTTGCAACATTTGCTAATGCTAACTTTTCACTCTCGCAAAATAAAAACCTCAGCGGCAACAAGAAATTTATTAGATTTCCAGTACTGCAGAGATAAACATGTCACCGTCGACAATAACATAATCTCTCAGTCTACTCGCAGATTGGGAGCACAAGGAAACATGCTGAAATAGTATATTCGTGTCACGTCCGTACGCGCAATCCAATGGACCGAGAAGAAGGACCGGCACGAAAGGAGCCGGGGAAGGCGGCCAGCGGTGGTGCCGATCACCGGCGACTTTCAAAAGGGAGTGCGCTTTGATTTAGCACCAGCGGCGCCCGCACCAGGAAACGCTCTCCGTCACCGTCCGCCGTTACGACGCGGTTCGGCCCCAGAGTCCCTTGTCCACTTATCGCCAAGTTTTATACTCCTCGCGTATCGCGCTGCTTTGAAAAGTTCCCCGGCTTTACGGGCCTCTAACTGTCCGCGAGGAAGGTCCGAGCGTCGCTGGGCCTGGCCCACCATGCAGTGGGCCTGTGGCACCTTGCTCGAGGAAAGCGCAGTCAAATCAGGCAGAGCTGGTTGGATTTGCTTCTCGACAGAAGTTGAAGCATAGGCTTAGTATTTTCTTTTCACTTCCATACGGTTCGCACACAATCGTAAAGGTAACCAAAGCACTAAAGAAAATTCGCGACAAATACTGGAAATATAATGCACCTATCCGTGAAGATAGATATTATTTCAACAATGCCGATCGCCATGAAGTTGAAAAAATAATGAAATCACTCAAATCGAATTCAAAAGGCTCTAACGGTATAACGGAAAAACTAAAATGGTTTTGAACTACGCCCTTCCAGCTCTCACACACAAATGTTTCTTCAACAATTTGATCTTTCCTCAATGTGGAAACTAGCTTACCCCTTCTGTAAATCTTCTGTAATTCATTAAATCCTTGAAATTACCGACCAAACAGTATATTACCAACATTGTTCTAAATCCTCCAAAAAATGTTGTACGCCAAGAAATAGAAAAGTATCTCGTCATAAATTATCTCAATAATTTTCAATCTGGTTTTATGCAGGGTAGGAGAACGCAAATGTCTTTATTACGAATGGTAGAAGACAATCGTCAAACTCGGGATGTAAGCAATATACCAATGCAAACGCTTTTAGATTTCTGCAAGGCATTTGATTCAGTAAACCATAGCGTGCTTCTGCCAAAACGTAAATGCATCAATTTTTCTGTTTCTATCTCGTGACAACGGGTTGTAGTTGCTAAAAATTCTTTCCCTAAACTAAGGATTCGTCCTAGGTCCTCTTTTCTTCCTGGTCGAAGTAAATGATATCCCCTCTGTACGATCTGACTACAGCCATATGTATGCAGACGACCTACAGATTTAGACCAGGGGAAAACCTTCTGAAATGGCCTATTTAGTTAGAAAAACAAATCACAACTTGGCTTCTTGACTTAAACGGTCAGTGAGAAACGTCATCAAGCTAAATACATTTAAATCTCAATCAATTATAATTGGTTGAGACAACACAAATCACTTCAAAATATAAATATTCCTCATATCATACTTAGCAACACTATTGTTCCTTTCTGATCTGAAGTTAAAACTCGTGGTCTGACTATCGATAAATTCCTAAATTGAAAACCCATGCACGGGACTCTTGCGGAAAAGTGCTCACTTAAATATTATTCAAATGTTTTCCATCAAAAACCACAGAATTACTATTAAACTCCTCTTGCTTCCCTCTCTTGATTATGGCAATAGTGTGTATGGTAATGTAAAGAAATCAACCATTGATGCTTTTCAAAGAGCTGAAAATAAATGTGTTAGATTTTAATATAATTTTCGAAAGTACGATCATATATTGGGATACTACAAAGAAAATCACATATTGGGATACTACAAAGAAAATCACAGTATTGAATTTGAAAGGTCCATGAACATTTCATAGTTAATTTATTTTTTTTATTTTACGTCAAAAAATTTTGAAACTGTGTTTGACTACGAGATGAAGTATATTCTGTGCACGTTTTGTTAATTCTGGGATCCCTACCCTAAACCGTGCACTCTTACTAGGTGCATTCTGAATACATAAAGAAATGAACGTTTTGGCGAGAATTGTTAACAAAATATTCGCTCCGATGTGATAACAGTAATTTATGTAACAAGGACGCGAAACAGGCGATTCAGGCACGAGTCGAGTTTGTCGTCTTCGCTTTTTTTTCTTTGTCCTCTCCACAGTAATCCTTTGGAAAAGGGGAATTTATTTACTTTAAATTATTAACAATAAACTGCTGCCTTGCGGCTTAAGCAGCTAGAGGAGAGACTTTATCTTACAGCTAAGTTTTACATACTAGTCCTAAAGTTCACTTACTTGCACTTTGCCATTACTAACTTACACTAAGATCGGTTTTGTTAATACAATAATTCTACAGAGTTAATTTATGAGCGAGATATATTTTTTCTTCTTTTCCACTACATTCACACATTCATACTTGATTTCGCTACGCTCGGACGACAAAGAGATGAGAACGAAAAATTCCTCGCGCCCGTGTTGCGTTCACTATTTTTTAAAACGCAGTCAGCGAAACGCACCTTCGGCACCGTTTCTTCAAAATCTATCTCCGAAACAATATCTGACGTCATATTTTACCATGTAAAAAAGTAAAATGGATACCAGAGACATACATTATTGTTTGCAAATAAACAAATATGTCGTCGAGTGTAAAGACAATTGCGAATCGTTACAGATGTTTCGCACACGCTTCGCGATGTTTCGCGAACTGTGAAACAATTAGCTGTTTTGCACACGGAAAACAAGCACGAGAAACGGCACTTTTCGCACGGTGTGTTATAAAAAACAATTTTCGAAGGCAAATCAGCTGTTGATTTGGTTTCTTAGCCTTCACGTCCTACGTGAAGGAATATACTATTGCTACGACAAAATAGAGAACGATAATTTGAATAATTATATTTCCCACTGAACTCTAGATGACGTGCACAGAAAATGAAGTTACATTTATGCCCAGAAGCAAACCAAGGGGTCATCGCATCATTTGCTCAAAGGAAATTTCAATTAGAAACCCATCTCATGACTTCAAGAAATACACCATCAAGCAGTTTTAACCCTTTCATTATACGCCGATAATTCCGTTTCGTGTCATGCGTACGAAAGAGTTTTAAAACGAATAGCCTGTTTGGTGCTTCCGAATGACGTGCAATCAGTACGGCTGAATCTGTTTGCCAATCGCACCCAAACATTTCTTTTATAAGTACGGATCCTCTTTCATCGTATAATGAGAACCCAAAGACAGTACTTTTGTAAACCGGTCCTGCGGCGTTTTTTGACCTGTGATAGCGCGCGCCCGCCCCACTGCGCTATTCCTTGCTAGCGCCCTCCTCCCCGTCCGTCGCCAGCGCGGGTTGCGGTTTTACGAGCGGGGGTGGAGGCGGTTGACCGCGCCCTCCTGCGGCGCCTCCGCGAGCTTCCGACCGCCCTCACTGCTAGCAGCACAGTCTGCCTCCGCAATGGAAACAAACGCTTAATTCTAAGAGCGGACGAGCTCGCCAGAAGACTGCTCTTTCTTTTTTTCCCTTCCTTTTTTTCGCATATAGGCCAACTTGTACCAGGCGTGCATCCTGCTTCAGCAGGTGTACCTTTTTGGGACAGAACATTTCTGTAAAGGGATCAGCATTTTGGCTGGATCCCTATTTTCATTTTTTGTTAGCCCTAGGGATGATGGTGAGGGATCAAAGGCCCAGGAGGATAGACACATTGTTTAGTCCATATTTATTTGAAAAATATTCATTATCCAACTCCTTTAATAAAAACAATATTTTGAAATTTTAAAAATTGGGAGACTATTCTCAGTTTTCTCCAAATGAGGAATTTGGCGTTCATTTGTAAAAAGTTTTTCAATTAAACGATTCAATTGAAGTTTCTATATATTCCGTCCATCGATACACAGTGACATGTGGCTACTTTATGCTTTAGTATGGTCGAACATAAAGTATATACCTGTGAAGTGTGTTGATTACTTTTGTTTGAGAAATTGCGAATTCAGTAAAAGTGGATATATTTCCAATAGTTAAATGTCATTTTTCAAATATCAAATTTAATTTTAATAAATACTTAATATTATACGTTTGAAATATACATATTTTACCATTACATTATGAATCCCGCAGTGAATGCGAATTGCTACCACCAAGGCCTTCTGAATCTGGGAAGTTTATCATTCACATCATTGGCATGGAGTTCAACCACATTATCTCAATTCTTCATAGCCTTTAATAACTATTCCATCATTTTAACTATCCCAACTTCAAAATTAAAGTTGAGTTTTTTATACCAATAACAAAACTGAAATATAATGTAATGATATTTTCCATTAATGTGATATTAGTAATATTAACAATCGCATAAAGTTGCTGACGCGTCGAGTCGCTGTCGAGTTTTACAGTTTTACAACCATTATTATTATTATTATTATTATTATTATTATTATTATTATTATACAATTTCTCATTAGCCAACAATTAGATCGGATGCACCCGAATAAGCGTGTGCGCGGGTGCAGTTTAAGTAAGCGTATTTTGTAACTTTCCATAAAAAGTTCTATAACATCACATTGTGTACACACTTTCTATAAATTATCAGCCCAAAGGGTTTCGTCTACTCATTCTGCTTCTCTGATCGATTAAATACTTGCAATTGTGAAAACATTTGTATTTTCATTTCCCTCATTATATGTAGTTTTTCATATATTTTCATGGAGATGTTAACTCGTTTTTACAGCCATAAATTACTACACGTATAAATCACTGCAGACTTCAGTTACTTCATCCGTTTTCTTGAAGAGGATTCTCATTTATCATTTGTTTCATTTCAACATGTAAGCGAGTAAGGATAAGTCTCTTAATCTTTTTTTTTCTTCTTAGGAGATATAGCAATTTGAAAATAGTTTCTGTAAATGGAGATCTCTTCTTGAGTTCTTAAATTATAAGAGCTAAGACAGTTCACTGTTAATAATGGATTAAAATACATCCCAATTAGATACTTGCTATTGAAAGAGATGACTTTAAAGAAAACATTATAACATTTAACTTAATGTAATTTGATAAGTAAATTAATTAATTAATATAAAAAATATATTTGCGCTGATCTGCAAAGTGTTTTAAGTGCGTTATTCAAAAATAGAGCCTTTCAATCTACATCACCTTTTACAGAAAAAAAACCCTAAATATAAGAACAAATTCCTTAAAGGAAAAAGATGATGTACTAGTATCAAAATATATACGGTATTCAAAACTGGTTCAAAAGTCTGTAATGGATATTTTTATTAAGCTGTTTAGTAGAAACTAACCACGAGAATCATGAAAACGATGGATTGTTACGTGAAACTGTATATGCTTTTGCTCTCATTCAAAGCCAAAAATACGTAACAAATACTTTCAAAAATTGCGTCTCTCAAACATTTTTTACTGTTATCATATCGTTGAAACAATTTATTTTGCTGACCAATCGAGGACAGAAATGTCAAACCCTTAATCTAATACCTCGCATTATCTTCTAACTGCAGCCCTCAATTATAAAATACGACCGCTTTTTGCGAGACTAGACACCTAACAAACGAAGGAATGTGCTCCTTTGACCTACAGGCTTGCATCTCTGAGAGTTTTTGTTCGCATCCGACTTGACCTGGGCCACAATCACTCTCTCGGCGGGAAAGCCAACCCTGAAGCTCGTAAATGTCGCCGCTGCAAAGAAAATCTTTTCCTTTTTAACACTCAACTCGCATTTTTGCAATCGGCGCCCTCGTGATATCGCAGTCTCCATTGTGGGGCCTCCCGTCCGTAGTTTTTCCCTGACGCCCCCCCCCACACACACACACACTCCTCCATCATCTCCACTCTTCATGACGCCCCTATCTTTGTCACTAGTGAGATCCGCGTTGCATTAACTGCAAAAGGCACCAGACATTTTACTTGTTATTTGAAATTACATAAATAAGGCATATCATGCTAAGTATGTGGTACGCTGACGAATTGCGTCAAATTATCTGTGTAAAAATGTGGGTGCGCCGTTGATACAGTAATTTTGTGAATGAGCTTTTCAATGTGGCATCGCAACTACACACACACACACACACACACACACACACACACACAAACAAACAAAGAAAAAGTGTCATAATGCAACTTTTTATTACAATAAATACTGAAAAATCGTCTGCTGTTCTCTATCAACTCTTCTCAGATTTCCTTGTGGTTCGTCTCACTATCTCCCTCTCCTTCTCACTATCTCCCTCTCCTTCTCACTATCTCCCTCTCCTTCTCACTATCTCACTCTCCTTCTCACTCTCTCTCTCTCTCTCTCTCTCTCTCTCTCTCTCTCTCTCTCTCTCTCAAGTCCTCTCTCTCCCACCGTTCCGCTCTGACTCTTCCACTTCTCCCTAAAGCTTTACCTCTTTCCCCATTTCCCTTTATCGCTCTGTCTCTCTCACTCCTTTCCACTTCCCTTTCTTTCTCTCTCCTCTCTCCTATTCGTCCCTCTGTCTCTCCTCTTTCCCTCGTTACTCCGTCCTCTGTCCTTACCGTTTTCCATCTTACTCTTCCTTTCTCGCGTCACATTCGAATTTATTTGCCTTTGTTCGCTCTTTTACTTCGCGGAGCCCTCCATGCCTTCCAGATTCGACCAACCGGGATCCTCTGCAACCACCACCGGCCCCTCTATTTCGATCACGCCGCCCGCGCCCCCGCTCACGCCCGCGGTCCCGC